GCCGTGGTGGAGGGGAGCCGTATCCGTGCTCGGGAGCGACTCCAGTCTGGATCCCCTCCCTTCCTGACTGTGTAACCCGGGGCAGGTTTCTTAATCTGTCTGCGCTTCGCTTTCTTCATCCTTCAAATGATGGTACTAACAACCTGCACCGCAGGCTGGCAGTGAGGATTAAACGACTTCTGTCTCTGAATTGCTTGGGACAGGGCCTGGCACGTGGTGGGCACTAGGGCAGTATCAGCTGTTGTTCTTTTTCTCCCACCGTGCCTTTGCTGACATGTGGGGCAAGAATGAGTGAAGTTTCGCGTTTTGTCAAATGTTCTCAGAGCTCCGGGCGCCCTGTGGGACAGGAGTGGCTGTTGGGGTGGGGGTGATTTTGGGTGTTGGGTGGGGCTGGGCTGCAGCTGTGCCCCTGCCTTCCAGGACCTGCCCTCGTTCACCCAGAGTGTGCACAGGCTGGTCAACGACCTGCGTTACTACAGACTCTGCAATGACAGCCTGCCCCCCGGCACCGTGAAGCTCTAGGTGCGGCCTGCTCACCGCCCAAGGGACATGGACCTCTGCCGCCGCCACCTGCACCACCTCCGCCTGCTGCCAAGGGTGTCTCCCGGACGGGCCTTGGCCACTCCTTGGCTTCTCACGTCCGGAACGGCGTCGCCTGCCCTCACCCCCCTCCACGCTCCTCTCCTGCCACCCACCCAGCAGAACTGGCTCCGGGGTGTCCAGGGGTCTGGAGCGGCAGGGATCATGCGGCCAGGTACCAGGGAGGCAACGGGAAACCCTGTGGGGTGGTCCGTGCAGATCATGCGTGTATCAGTCACGAGGCAGAAATGCCAAGCAAGGACAGCTGTGACAGTGCCACCTTCTCACCATTCCACCTCCCCACCCCTCCCGGCCCAGCTGGCTAAGGAGAGGCATGATGTTGGAACTACTTTGGCACTTCTGTCAAGCCTCTCCCTCCCTCCCCCTCAATTGCCTTGAAGTCTCTGCTGTTTGTCAGAGATTTGCAGACCCATGGGGTTTTTTTTTGTTGTTCTTGTTTTCTCATCATTCCATTGTGATACTAAGAAACTAAGAAGCTTAATGAAAAAATAAAATGCTTATGTTGTTGTTATATAAACGCTGGTTAGGGAGCTTCTTTTCCACTCAGAACTTCCTCAAGGGCCAGCATCCAGGTGAAGGGGAGCATCCTGGCAGGGAGCGGGGCAGCAAGGGGTGAGGCCTGTGTCGGTGCCCTGGGGGAGCCCCTCCGAGGGGGACTAACTTACATCCCGTCCTCTTCTCGACAACATCTTTAACAGTGAGAAGATGCAGGGTCCCTGTTTCTCAAGTTCAGGGACGGTGGGGGACTTGGTCTGACAGCTACCCTAGTGGTGGAGGTGGGCCTGGAGTCCAGGTGGTGTCCACACCCCTGCTTCTCAAAACGTGGGCTCCCACTCCTCTCCCTCCCAGAGAGTGGACCCCTCAGTGGACCAAAGTCTCGCCTGAGGACAACAGGGAGATGAAGGTCTCTTAATGGATTGTCTGAGAATGGGGGTTGGGGAGGGGAGGGGAGGGTGTAGCCGTGTGAGGGGCCAGGAGTGGGTGGGACTCAGGTCTTGCTGGTGTGTCAGAGAGGTGAGGCCTTGACCAGCTATTCATGTGCAGAAATGGCGCTTGTCCTTGAAGTTTCTAGGATAACGGATCGGATCGGCAGCTCCTCCTGCTTTAGGTGTGACAGGGACTGGACAGACAGGACTGGGGTTGCTTCTAATGAGGAACACCACGCCTGACAGGAAGAGGTTTGCTCACCTGAAAGTGAGAGTAGGGGTGTTATGTGAAGGCTCATTGACAGAACTGGGGAGGGAGTTGGGGGCTGATGGCTTCTACTTCTGAGGCCTTTCTTTATAAGAATAACTTTGGTGGGGGTGGGGACGTGGGCTGGATTTGAGCTACGCGCACACGTGCACATAGCCCCTTGCTTCGCGTCAGTCACAGCCTCCTAGCTGCAGCTAGCCCCAGTTCAGAGTTCATAGAGGAGGGAATTGAAACTTCAGTCACTCTTCAACGGAAGGGAATTAGCATCCAGTTATTCCTGGGCTATAAACACCACCTCACCTGCCTGCTAGGCAAGGCCGGGAGCGCTGCCTGTGCCCTGAGATGATGAAAGGGCTTTTTGAATGCCTAATGACCAAGGGGGTGAGGGAATGGGTTTGGTTGCCTGTGAGCCCCACCCTTGGATGGAACACAAGGCAGGACTTGGGATGGTAGAGGAAAGGCCTTGAGGAGTAAGGTGGGCTGGGATGGAGGATTTTTATTCTAAGACTGATGGGCGCGGCCCCAGCTACATGGATTGTAGTGAGCTCCCAGTCCTTGGAGGTGGACAAGAAGAGGCTGGGTGACCTGCAGGAAGGGTTCCTCCCCTGGGAGGGAGGTCAGACAGGTCTTGATCTGATTTCTCTTGACTGCAGTGCCCCGCATAGGGCCTGGCACAGAGCAGGCCTTAGGACGCCTGGGTGGAATTGGCTAAGTTCTCAGGCTCTTGGCAAATCCAGAAACTGTCTTTGTGATCTGAGGAAGGGGATGGGGAAAGGATAGAGATGGACAAGAGGGAGCCTTTAGGTCAGTCTCAGCTGGGGACAGATAATGGCTGGGGGTTTTCAATGAGGTGGACTGCTTTCCCTGCCACCTTTGGGTGCAAGGAGTTTGTCTCGGCTCCATTTGATTCCCATGTCCCGCTTTTCCTCTGGTTTATGTCATTTACATCCGCCAAAGGCACAGCTGCTGGCTTTGGGAAAGGTTCTGATGAAATTTTCTGATTTTCACAATTTATGGCATTTTCCTCCATTACCTACCGTTGGCCTCACACAACGGAGGGTTGGCATTTTTTAACAGCCTTTTCCCCTCCAACTGCAAAATGTTGTAGAAGAACATGTAAAAAATGCAGGAAAAAAAAAAGGGTCACATCTAATCCCAGCACCCAGAGAAAACCACTGTTAGTATTTTGGTGAATTTTCTTTCAACATTTCCCTATTTGTCTGCAAACATGTATGATTTTCCTTTTCCTTTTTTTTTTTTTTTTTAAATAGAGGTCCTGTTTTTGTAGTCTCCTTTTGATTTATTTAACATGACCATTTTCTCATGTTGTTAAATATTCTACTAAAACATGGTTTTAATGGTGGATGGTATTGTAATAGGGAAGAACAAATCTGACTCCATGTTAGATCTGTTTCTTTTACTTTAATCTTTGTGTTCTGTTGCCTTTGCTTCCAGTTAAGAATGTTGCCAGTAGCCTGAAATATACAGGACAGCCTATTCTCAAGGCTATACCTTTTTTTTTTTTTTTTTT